TGTGTGTGTGTGTGTGTGTGAGAGAGAGTGTGTGTGTGTGTGTGTCACCACAGTGATAATAAAACTCAAATCACCACCATTGTGGGTCGCCAAGATAAAAACAGCTCCATAAAGAGACCAAATAATGAAACTCTCAACATGACAGAAGGTTTCTGTGGGTTTAAAGGGTGGGAACACTGACTATAATGAGCATATCTGTCATTTTCCCAAGTCTAAATGATTTAAATATTATTAAAATACACGTCTCTGATAAGCAGGAGTACAGCAGATACAGATAAGAAATGCATATAAAGCGATAAATTCACTTTAATATGCATTTACTGTATGAATTCACTTATAAATTCTCTTAGAAAATGAACCTTCCTTCTATCTAATGACATTTTCACTATCAGGTAAATGTTGTTCTAGGGATGTTTATACATTTGATCGCAATTATGAGAATATAAGAACATTTGTTTTTATTTTAAATTCACTGTAAAAATGAGTTTTCGAAGTTGTAGATGAAATTAAGATTACTGGACTTTCAGTCTTTGTAGATGTCACCTTTAATTCAGTGTTACTTGCGGTTTCTTTGTGACATTTCCTACAGCATTTGTTGAGTGAAAATAGTTTCTACTACAAATGTTGAGGCTGCTAATGTTTTTTTTTCGCAGAGTAGCTCAATATAAAAGCCACAGAAGCGGACTCTCTCGGTACCGATGATCCGGTGTGTCGCAGTGTTTGATTGACAGCTCAAGAGTTCAGCATTATTAGTAACATTATGAACATTTAGACTGAGTTACACCGACTCACCATCTGTGTTTTGCCGCTGCCGCTGTTATCCACCATCCCTCCGCTCCGCTCGTCTCTTTCTGCTCGGTAACTCACGGCGCTTTCCGTTCCTCCAGCGAGCGCGTGGCGATCCGGTGCTCCGTTTCAGGCGAGCAGAACCGCGATCACAGACCTCCGAGCCGCCCGGTGCTCAGCGCTCAACTCCCTGTATGGAAGGCCAAAAGCGTCAAAAACACAGCTCCCTTCCGCTCCGCTCGCGTCTCCTGGACTGTGTACAGCGCGTGCCGATCAATCACACGCACACTGATGGAATAATGTATGTGCGTTCGGTATTAATTTCATTTCATAAAATAATAAAATAAAATAAATATTCTAATGATGACAGCAATTGTGTGTGTGTGTGTATGTGTATATATATATATATATATATAATTGCTGTCATCATTAGAATATTTATTTTAATATATATATAATATATATTAAAATAAATATTCTAATGATGACAAAATAAATAAATAAAAGTAACAAAAAATAAAAGTAATATTTAGAAAATTACCAGATCTAATGTCAAACAGTTTGTTCAGTGTGTTTGGTATTCAGAAAATTACATAACATTTCTAAAATAAAATAAAAAATAAATATAAATCAATAAATATTCTATTGATGACAAAACTAATTTAAAGGAATATTTAGAAAATGACCAGATCCAATGTCAATATAATTCTGTCAGTGCGTTTGGTATTCAGAAAATTACATTTGATTAGTAAAATAAAATAAATATTCTAATGACCAAAAAAAATAAATAAATAAATACAATTAGAAAATGACCAGATCGAATGTCAAAATAGTTGTCAGTGCGTTAGGTATTCAGAAAATTACATTAAATTACTAAAATAAAATAAATATTGAAATATTCTAATGATGACTAAAATAACTTGTTGAATAAATCACTTAAAACGAACAGATGAATTCTAATGTTAATATAATTCTGTCATGAAGCGGTCTGCTGAAATGCCCCTATTTTCTGAAAAATACATTAAATGAATCAATTAAATAAATACATAAATATTCTAATGATGACAAAATAATGTACAAATATTTAGAAAATCAACAATCAATTCTAATGGCATAAAGAGTCTGCTGAAACGCTCCTATAGTAAACAAACATAATTAAAACGCTTCATTCTCAAATATTCATTGCTCAAAACTGAATCAGCTGCCTTACATAAAGAGCATTTCTCGAGCATTTTCTTGTGAAGTGAGCAGCTCACTAATTCTGAGTTTCCAGATGAAAGTAGGATTGTTATTTATACAGTATCTGTCGAAAAAGAGACATTAATGAAGAACATGTATGACTTGAGGTTTAGCTCATGGGGGCTTCATGTTGCATGTTTATTGGCTCAAAAGTCATGATTTCTTCTAATGCATGAATTAAAAACTCAGGCTGTCAGCGACCTCTAGTGCTCATGCGCAGTAGGTGCAGTTTCACACTTTTATTGTTGCATTTACTTGTTATATTTTACCCATCCATCAGCTGTCTAGAAACCACACCACTTTCACCAACACACACGACTCTGGCTTTTTTCCAACTCTGTTCCAGTTTAATCCAAATAGCATTAAAGGAAGACTGCTGGTCATTTCTAGCATGATGTACTTCCTAACGATCCCATGCCGAGATTCGATTGTGAATATAAACACCTGACACACATTAAAGAGAGAAAGTTTAAGTGTTTCCTTTAATTTCACAATTAACATCGTTAAATACAAATAATATATGTCTTGCAACAAAATAAAAGTCAATAAAGTCATCGCATTATAAAGTCAGTAACTGATTTCTTGTGGCTACAAAGTGAAGAAATAAAGTGTTTAGTTGCATAGTGTTGAAGATTTTCTAAATCTCTCTCACACACACTTTAACCACAAACACAGACACAACGACATATTTATAATACTCAAGCAAATGCATATTTAAGGGCAGATAAAAATATTCTGGATTATGCAATTTTAAATACAAAATAACACGTCATATATTGACTAATGTAACAACTCGCATCAGCCTCACTTCATTTCAGTAACAAAATGTGTTGCTGTTTGAGAGTAACAGAATATCAGAGAGAAAATACAGTTAAAAAAATGTATAAACACTTTTCAAAAGAGCCTCAAAGACCTCCAGAGCAGAGTAAAACACACACACACACACACACACACACACACACATGTATGTAAAGTAGTGTCAGGTTTCTCACTATCAGTAACGCTGCACTTCCCCACACGCTGAGCTGGAGCATTATGTGTATTCTGTGTGTTTCAGATCCCACTTTCATCTTCACTTCCTTTTCTGAGAGTTTTGAAATCATCAGCTGCTGTCCCGAGTGAAATGATGATTATAAAACTCAGAGAATGAAGATAGCGATGGCCACTGATTTCATACATACACAAATCACTTCCAAATCATATTTCTGTGACTAAAGCACATAAAGTACTATGCTTTTGTAAATAGTTTTTTCAGTCAGTTCAAAGGCAGCACAACAAATGCTTCCATGATGAATACATAACTGACCATTTAAATATGATTGTTTTCATCCATTACAGCAATGAGAATGAGATCTTTGGCATCACTATGGAAGACCGTTTCTGCAACAGAATTAAAAAAAAATAATTAAAATGATAATGGTGACTTTTTAGAGACATAAACGTGTAATTCTGAGAAAAAAAAAAAATCCAAATTGTGAGGGGAAAAAAAGTGTTACCACAGTTATCTTATATATATATATATATATATTTATTTATTTTTTTTAATAATTGATAAAGAATCATAATCAAACTGAATCACTGTCAGAACTCCTTCAACATGCAAAAAAGTTACCGCAATTATAAAAAAACAAAAACAACAAAAAAAAACAATTATATATATATCTTTTTTTTGTGTGTGTGTGGAAACAAAAAACAGAATTGCAAAATATAAACAATTCCAAGTTTACATATCGCAATTCTGTTTTTGTGAAACAAATAAAAAAAATAAAAATTTAGACGATTTAATCTTACAATCATGACTTTTTTTCTCACAATTACTCACAATTCAAACCTTTTTTCTTTTTACTTTTTTCTTGGAATTCTCACAATTCTGTTTCTTAAGCAAAATAAAAAGATAACCGCACCTTTTTTCTAACAATCACGAGTTAATATCTCACAATTCTGACTTTTTTCTGATTTTTCTACGGTTTGTATCTCGCAATTTCTGAGAATTTCTCATAATAAATGTCCAATTTGTGAGATAAAAAGTTGCAATTAACTTTATTTTTTCATCCTGTGGCAGAAACAAACTTCCATACATTATAAGAATTGATGCAATGAGAATTCGGCCTAAATAAATTTAATAAAAATGAAGAATAATGTCGCAGTGCATCTTACTAACGGTACTAAAGTCTGCCTAATTTTAAATATAATTCCTGATTTCTTTATTCTGATTTTGGGCTGATATGTGACCCGCTCTGGCGTGTGTTCATGACAGGGATGCGAGTAAATCACAGCTCAAAGCTGGAAGCGTTTGGGGGTCTGGCTACGAAGTGTGATTCTAGTATCGAGACAAACAATACAAGTCTGCGCTCTTAAAAACACTGTTTCTGGTCCATTCCTCAGCATCAGCACCTCACTGCACACAGCAGCAGCAGCAGACGGAGGAGCTCAGGGCTTTCGGGGGAATCAGGTCCAGATCTTCATCATCAGGTGTCTCATCCAGGTGATATCCATCCTTCAACAGCTGCCTGCTCAGATCTGGATGCACCTGCGGAGAAACCAGACGCTGCTATCACTGATCCCAAAGGTGTTCACTTCATAAAAACAAACCTTGTGAATTTCATCATGGTATGTGCCTATTTAACCCTGTAAAGCCTGACATATGTGACCCTAGAGCACAAAACCAGTCATAAGGGTCAATTTTTTGAAATTGAGATTTATGCGTCATTTGAAAGCTGAATAAATACGCTTTCCATTGATGTATGGTTTGTTAGGATAGGACAATATTTGGTTGAGATACAACTATTTGAAAATCTGGAATCTGAGGGTGCAAAAAAATCTAAATATTGAGAAAATCATCTTTAAAGTTGTTCAAATGAAGTTCTTAGCAATGCATATTACTAATCACAAATTAAGTTTTGATATATTTACGGTAGGAAATTTACAAAATATTTACAAAATATCTTCATGGAACATGATCTTTACTTAATATCCTAATGATTTTTGGCATAAAAGAAAAATCTATAATTTTGACCCATACAATGTATTGTTGGCTATTGCTACAAATATACCCCAGCGACTTAACACTGCTTTTGTGCTGCAGGGACACATATATTAGCGTCCAAACCAATGATAACGTTCTGGTTATTATAAATCATCATTAATCAGCTGGAAAATATAATTCTGAAACTTTTTAGTTATAGTTATACTGTCCTTTATTTTGGCAAGACAGTAATTTTCAAAACCATGCTGAAGACACAAATGTGAATTTATGAATGAAAAAAAGGTATATATATACTGGGCATGAAATTAACATGGTACATAATTAATAATAGTAATTAAAATTGATTATTATTTGATTTGCATTACCAAATCAGCTTCAAAGGCAGATAATAATCAAACATTTGCTAAAATTCAGCTCGATCAACAATTCTGTACAACTCTATAAAAAATTCTGCAGCTGTTTTTGTGATAAAAACTGTATGCGTTTTAGAATTGATTATTAAATATATGATCAGTGCACGATGATGCATATTCAAACCCTAAACATGAAGGCAACTAACTACCCGTTTACCAAACTATATAAGGTATTAACTCACTTCTGCTGAGGAATATCCAGACGAACAGTCCAGCTCTGCATCACTGATGAAACCAAACCAACCAATCAATCACTCAATCAGCACACACTTCCTCTAATCAAACAGAACGGGTTTCTGGCCAATAACAGGTTTCCAGGCTTGTGTAAAAGCCCTTTAACTAACACTGAGCTCGTTCTGATGGCTGGCGCACCTGTCTGAGTCCAGCGAGACGAGCGAATCCTCTCCCGTCTGACTCAGAGCCGCGTATCCCTGATTGAACCTCACACTGCAGAGAAACACACATCAGTCTGGACACGAGCCACTGAACAATAACACTCCTTCCCTTCTTTACAGTCCGTTTGTGAGGCTGAAGAGAAGTACAAGAGCTGTGAAACACACCCGCAGACTCCCGTTAATCAAACCAACCCAACTCTTCACTATATGTGACCCTGGAGCACAAAAGCAGTGTTAAGTCGCTGGGGTATATTTGTAGCAATAGCCAACAATACATTGTATGGGTCAAAATTATAGATTTTTCTTTTATGCCAAAAATCATTAGGATATTAAGTAAAGATCATGTTCCATGAAGATATTTTGTAAATTTCATACTGTAAATCTATCAAAACTTAATTTTTGATTAGTAATATGCATTGCTAAGAACTTCATTTGAACAACTTTAAAGATGATTTTCTCAATATTTAGATTTTTTTGCACCCTCAGATTCCAGATTTTCAAATAGTTGTATCTCAGCCAAATATTGTCCTATCATAACAAACCATACATCAATGGAAGCTTATTTATTCAGCTTTCAATCTCAATTTCGAAAAACTGACCCTTGGTTTTGTGGTGCAGGGTCACAAATAAAACACGCAGCATACTGACTCGAGTTTAATGCATCTGTGCATTCATATGCATATGCAGCGTATGAGTCATTTTAGCATCAGTGAGTGATATACTATTATAGTTTATTTTAATATTTTGAATTAGATTTTATTTTTACATTTTCTGTTTTCATTTGTTTTTAGTTGAAGTTTTAGTAATTTTGTTGCAGGGTCATTATAGTAAACTAAAACTACAAACTATAAAAAAAGCATTTCCAGCAAAAAAAAAAAATTTGAAGTTAACTGAAATAAAATATTTAAAAACGTAAAGTTGCTAAGGAAACATTTCTAATTTCCATTTAGTTTAACTTGACTAAAAAAAAAAATATATATATTATATATACATATATATATATATATATATATATTATATAAAAAAAAAAATCAAAAATCAAATGTGCCATATTATACATTCATCTGATCAGATATCTGATCTTACGGCTGTTTAAGAAAAACTATTATTTTTATTATTATTTTTGTTGCAATTACTTACAGTATAAGTGGTCTTTGTCTGCTTTAAGTAAAGTAGCATAAGAAAGATGGCAAGATATGAGACTTATGATGCATTATAACTATGGGAAATATAATCCACTGTGAGTTAAGTGGATGCATTGTGTTCATTGTGTATTATAAATCATCATAATCTTAAAAGCCATAACCACAA